GTGTGAATCAGAAGAATGCAACAGTAAAAAGCAAGTAAGCAGAGAAGACGCAGGGTAGGAACCTGGCTCGGTGCTTCTCTGAGCCCTATCTAGCTGATAACGTCTTCACTACTGAATGGAGACTGAACTTGGATCCAGGCGACTTCTCTTTCATTTCTTCTTCCCCAGTCTAATTTTTCAAACCAAACGAACACATATTTGTGTGTTAACTCTTACCTGCTCGCTCTACCTTTATGTTTTAAGAATGTGCCAAGGACATTTAGCCCAATGTTTGATTACTGGAACAAAATGCTATCAACCTTCAGTTGGAAGTTGTTTCAAATAGCAGAAAATCCTAGTGACCGCAACATTGCAAAGACTTGACTGGGTAGATGGTCAATGAAACAGAAGTGGACGAAGGTGGGTGAGATGCAGCCTGAAATAAGTCACAAAGCATCAACTGGAGGAAAAAACACGATTTTAAAATGGAAAAAAAAAAAAGTGCTGAACTTGGGCTGTAAGCCACACCGTTTTTATTTTAAAAGTAAGAGCATATGTTTATGCTCTTAGGCGAATCATTCCACGTCTAGGTACCCTTTCCTGGTCTGTAAAATAAGAAGCTGGGTAGTTCTGCTTGTTCAGGCATAAGAAATCCCAAGGGAAAACTGTGTGCCTTCCCAAAGACAAGCACGGAGTAAGCTTATCAGCAGCATAGGGTCGGCAAAGCTAACCATCCAGTGAGGCCATTATCTGATAGCCCAGGGGTTAGCATGCTAACTTGCGTCCTTGTGTGTATTGAAAAAGCCATAACATTTCTGAAGTATTGTAGAATCCCACCCAGCATAAACACCGAACCAAGATGCTGCCTATCTCTCAAAGTAGTAAATTAGACTCAAATGCCTGGAGCTCCTAACTTCAAGAATAATTATTCTTAAGGAAGAAAGACAAACAGCGGTGACCATTTTTCACAGACGTGCTTAGCCATCAGGAAGGCTTAATAAACCCCTATTTAGTATGCATTTATGCAGTGATTACATGAACTTTGACCTCTGAAGAGCTGTAGCAATTAGCTTCAGTGTCCAGCATCCCCTGCCCATCATCCCCCACTGGCTTCCTTGGGTATCCTTCTCTCATCTCTCAGTAGCTCGTGCTCTAGGAGAGGAGCAAATTTTAAAGTTGACTTGCTTCTGCACAGACTAATTCCTCTCGCTCTCCCCAACTCTTCTCTGAAGAGCCGTCTCGGAGGGCCATGGAGGCTTTGATTGTCAATATCACTCAAACACAAATGGATTTCAATTCAATCTTGCCCTGTCCTTTTTGCCTAGATAAACCCTAATAGTCCAAACAGCTTCATTTCTTAGCTCCTGGTATCTGAAATAAAGTGGATCACTTCTGTCAGACTAAATTTAACTTTTTTTTTTTCAAAATAATCCAATGTAGCGTTTTTTAAGTCTAATGAAACCTAGTTGACAAAAAAAAAAACAGAGAAAACAGCAGAAGGGTTCCTCAAAGCTTCCAAAAAAAAAAAAAAAAAGCAAGGACGGGGGCGGGGAGAGAATCAGAATCAGGAAGGGAGAAGAAGAAAGTGTTTTAAGTTTCTAGTAAACATTGTTTAGCAAAAGAATAATAGGAAAGTTGCCCCTTTCCTGAAGTGGGATGGAACTATAATTGTTGCCTCTAGCTGAGAGCTCAGATAAACCGCGGGATCCATTCTAAAGTGACCCATCACTGCATTCATGTCTTCTTGAACTTTCGGTGAACCTGAGATTAAACAGGGGTGAGCAGCTAAGCAGTTTGTTGTTAGCAGCCTTTTCAACAACCCTTTCAGACTGAGTAAATATTGATCGGTTTGAATCTGATTGCCCCTGAGGAAAACACCACTGCATCTGAATAGCCTCTAAAAGTAAACTTTCAAAGGTGAAGCCCCGAGCAGAGCCACAGCCAGCCCTCCCCTCAGCCTAGTGAGAGGACACCCTGAATTTGGGGGTTCACTACCCAAGAATGTAGAGGAAGTGAAGGAAAAACATTAGAAACTAGAACCGTCGATTAATCCCATATCTCTAATAGAGACCCGCGTTTCCTTTTGAAATTTACTGTTGAAACATTGTTTTCTGTGTTTCCTCTTTATGTCGTTCCGCGACCATTGGCTGTCGTTTTTCAAGGAGCTAACCACTCTCCTGGGAGACCGAAGCAGAAAAAGAAACCTTGAAATAAGATGTGTTAAGCACCTTTGATTTAATCGATTGGGACAGCTAAAAAGATACAAATGTTTTCCTTGCTGAAAGGTATATTAATGCCTCCTAAATACATTGCTCGTTAACTAATTTATTCTAGGATCTAGAGAAGGTTAAGGATATTTAGGCATAATTTATCGGCCTCGTTTTCCCAACTGCATTAAGACCGGCACCTTGAAGATTGGAATCTCCGGGATTCCAGCGGGTCCGGTTGTGCTTTTAGATATTGAAATCAAGGCAGTGGCATGCATGCAAATGACACTTTAGCACATTAAAGTATTTGGAAGTCAGCCATCTGTTCTGCTGTGTGGCCTTACACTAATAAACAATAGATACAGCATCAGGCCAGGGCGGGAAATGAAAGAAAGGATTGGCCGTCTTTGAAGTTCTCCTCCATCCACTTGAGTCTTTCAGAAGCAACCCCAGGTCCCGGCAGCCAAAGGGCGGGCACCCATGCCCTTGATATGGCCGCAGCCACCAGGTCTGTGAAGACCCAGCTTGCTTCCTTTAACAAGGCTGTGAACTCTCAGGCAGGCTTGAGAAGGCCTGCGGATTCCAAGTTTTTGCAGGGTTTTCCTTCTCCCAGCCAAGCCTTTCTAAAACACCCTGTGAGAAGGAAGGAAGTCATATGTCTGTATCTGTTTGTAATGCTGTAAATTTTCTACACTGCCCTTGGGACCAAATTAAAGCTTGCAAAAATGTGTGAAAGTAAAGGGTAAGTGGGAAGAGGCCTGGGAGGAGAGGAACTTTGAACTCTGTCATTTGCTGATCTCCTCTAAGAGAACAAGCGTTTGCCTAGGTCGGAAACAACATGAAAATTTAAAGGCTACAGGGCGGCTACCACAAGTTCACCTGGAAGAACCTGTTGAGCCCAGAGGTTATGTGACATGAACTTCTAACTAGGAACCCATCCTAGCCAGCAAGGTTATGAAATCAGTACGGAAGGTATAAGATATACAACCCAGAGAAGGGAGTGAGTAGTGGGAGGGGTACAATGTTGACCCCGAAGAATGGAGGAGGAAAGTAAGCATTTGCTGAAAACAGGCCACACTCCATGTAAAGGGTGGAATATATTAGAAGAACCCCTGACAGTCCAAAAAAGAAGGGAGAGGGAAGGATCCATCCTCAAAACAGCTTTATACTGGAGCTAATTAAATGTGAATCTCTCAGCTCTTGGGTCACTGATGTGAGGAAAGACTGGCTGAAGACAGGTTCAGCTTTAGAAGGGGGTTCTGTTTCTATAGATGTCAACATTCAGTTGGAGGTGAAAAGGTTAGCACTTGACCCAGGAAGTATCCATGTTTGTTTCAAAAATAGATCTACTTCATAAATTTCTTCATCATTCATTTTTTTTTCTTTCCAATATGAACTTTCATAAGAAGTGAGCTCTTGCTCAGTGAAAGAGAAGCTATTAGACAAGACCCCAGCTTTGATAAAATCACGCTCATACGGAATGCGTCAGCTGCATGAGAATGGAAAACATTCACTTTTTTATTCAAGAAGAAACGATCCACCTCTTTGAAAACACACAGCACCCTTCTCCCCTTCCCCACATGAAACCAGCTAGCTTACTGGGATCCCGCAATGGTAACCCAGCCACATACAAATGCTGCAGCATACCTGAAACTGGATCTATTTATTACAGACATCTTAAGACCCGTAAACTCTGCTCCGGATCACATCACCCCAGGATCTCAGAGCTGTTCATGATTGTACAGGAAATGAGGGCTATCATAGGCTCACACAAGGTAACAGACAGGACTCAATGTGCTACTTCAGGGACATCCAGACATTGTGCGACATGCAGGAGACTATTCACGAATCACACGAGATATACATCCACTGTGCCACCCATCACATCATCAACAACTGAGCTGAAAACATCCAGTCAAGGTACCTGCGGAAGAGCCTCCTTTGAATGATTCCCTTGGGCTCCAGCTCCTCCAGCAGGAGTTCAAAATAGAGAGTGGCCAGAGATGGCAAGAAGAAAGGGGCAGGTTAGGAGGCATTTAACACAGGAAGCCAGGTTCCGAATATTGTGCTCTCTGGGCCTTCTTAACCATCTGAAAGAACAAATGGAAACTACTCTGGGGAGCATCTGATTGGGTGGAATTGAAGAAACTTACCCTGACACCTACAGTCACACATAAAATTATACCAAATGTGAGAGTTTGCCCACCCTGTCTGTTTTAGATACATAATCTAAAACATTTCTAGAAAAATCTATATAAAGATAAACCTCTCAGGACAAAGTATTTACAACCAGCAAACCCACACACTGGAAACTGAATTAAATTAAGGGATGAATGAATTGGCATAAATACACTCATAGCGCATCTCCATGAACTCCCGAACTCTATCCTGCATTGAAGGGCAAGGTGGAGGGGCTAACTGTGAATATACAGCTTAGGTAAAAGATGAGGGGCCTCTCTTTGGCATATTTTCACTGGCAAAGGAGCCTGTTTTTTCCAAAAGAGTGTTTGAAAAGAACAAGAGGATCTGGGGAACTCTCCTAGGGGCCCACAGGATTTAATGCTGGCACCCAAACTGGATTAAGGAGTTAACAGCAGCAGCAGCACCCTTTAGCAAGTCTCCAGTCCAGACTTCCCTGGAAATCCATTGTCCTGGCTAGGAGCTCTCCAGATAGGATGGGGGTGGAGGGGGGGAAGGAGTGGGTGGTGGGGGAAGCTTCAATGGAAAGCAAGATAAGCTAAGAATGTGCTTTGAGTCCAAAGCTCCTGTTCCTAGGAGCAGGCTGAACTGCAGGGGCTGGGGCCCAACAAGGCCTCAGTGAGAGGTAGGTAGGGTGTCAGAGGTAGAGGACCCCGGCGAAGGGACGCAGGGTGAGGAGCTGGACTTCTCAGAGGATTCCTCAGCCTTCTCCTCGCTGCCGGGAGGGGTGGCTGGAGAGATGGGCAGGAGCCCCTCCTTCTCGCGTTTCTTCTGCTTCATGCGGCGGTTCTGGAACCAGATCTTCACCTGCGTCTCGTTGAGCTGCAGAGACGCGGCGATCTCCACCCTGCGAGCCCGCGTCAGGTACTTGTTGAAGTGGAACTCCTTCTCCAGCTCCGTGAGCTGCTTAGTGGTGAAGTTGGTGCGCACAGCGTTGGGCTGACCCACGTAGCCAAACTCTCCGACTTTGCCTGCGGTGGGATAGGAAGCCATGAGAGCAAAAGATGAAATTTAAAAAAAGAAGAAGAAGAAACTATAAAATCAATCGGAGATCCCCTACGCTCTTCAGGGCAACTTTCCCTGTAAAGGGTAAATCAAGAAGGTCTCCAATCCCCAAAGGGGACTGGAGAGCAATCGGGTGTTAACCTGAACTCATGCATTAGCTCGGTCAGACTGATGATTAATGGAGCCAGGAGATACTAGCAGGATATCACCCACACCTCACCACACACACACACACACACACACGCGCGCACACACACACACACACACACACTTCCTATTCCCAGAACATTTAGACCCTAGCCCCTCAACAAGTACAACAGTCCAGAGACTGCTTAGCCCCAATACACCTGGGCACTCTCCCCTTGCTCAACCATACTAGTCAGAATCAAGAACCCTTGCTTTAAAAAACAAACTGTTAATTTTCCTTGCCAGACTCGTGTAGGTTTGTATCCACTGGCCGGCAGGCCTCACCTGTTTTGGGAGGATTTCTTTTGACTTTCATCCAGTCAAAGGTCTGTGCTGGAGAAGACGTTTCCGAGGCAGGGGAGCGGCAGGTTTCTTGGTGGCTGGCGTGGAGAGGGGACAGAGGGTTACTATACGTGGCCAGGGTCAGGCTCTGGTGCTCTTGTCCGTATGAGTGGTGAATGTACTGAGGCGAGCCCACCGTGCCCCCGGCATAACCCTGGTGGTGGTGGTGGTGGTGGTGATGCTGGACCATGGGAGATGAGAGGTTTCCAGAGTACACAGCGGGAGCGCACGAGGGGTACCCACCACTTACGTCTGCTTCTTGGTTTAACCCATAGGGACTGTAAGGCGCACCAAAGTTCTGCGCACTGTAGCTCGGACCACAACTCGAGTGGGAGTAAGACACCCCCAGATTTCCAGAAGTCTGATAAGTGGCCGGCTGAGGGTGATGATGGTGGTGGTGGTGGTGGTGGTGGTGGTGGTGGGGCGAGCTGATCTGCACCCCCCTGCCCACTAGGAAGCGATCGTCGCCGCTGCAGTTGTTGGCACTGACTGCGCACGACTGGAAAGTTGTAATCCCATGGTCCGAGGAGTAGGTTCGCGCTGAGCAGGTCCCCGAGTCGCCACTGCTAAGGATGGGGTATTCCAGGAAGGAGCTCATCCTTGCATTGTCCATCTGTCACTGAGTGACCGGGTCCTGGGAAGCCGTGGGTGATCGTGCCAACTTTCTCACTTCCTCCATGAGGCCGAAGAAGAAAAATGATATGAATGTACAGTGCGCAACAAGGGGGGGGGGGGCCGAGGGCGGAGGGCGCCCGGAGAGACGCACGTGACTTAGCCAGCCAATGACCGAGCCGCCTACGAAAGTTTGCCGGCTCCGGCGGTGATGGATCACCGTTTCAGTGGCATTTAAGTCCCGGCGCTCCTCGGTCTAGGTGACGCGCAGTCGCCCCCCCAGGCGGCCCAGGAGGCGGCAGAAGCTGCGGCGGCTGCCAAAGCAGCTTTACAGCTCTGGGGCGAGAGGGAGCAGAAGCTGCCTTTAGCGCGCGCCCGAATCCGCGCGCCTCCCACCCTCCGGGAGGTGGGGGCTGGGAGCCACCCCTGCCCCCGCCCCGCCGAGCTCCGGAAGGTGAACTGGCCAGAGGTAAGAAGGGATGGGGGCTCCTGGGTTCTCATCGTGGCGCGAGTAGATGGGTCGGGGCGCACTGGGTGGCTGCAACAGCGGCAGATTCCCAAGCTGACAGAGCCGGAAGGGTGGGAATCCGGCGACAAAACACCCCAGGCTCCCAAGGCACAGGCACAGCATTGTCCCTGCGTGAGGCCTAAGGCTGCGGTGACCCCAGTGAACAGCGACACAGGGCGAGGTTGGCCACCAGCTCCGTCAGCTCGGAATGGGGAGAAGGGAGGACATGGCGGGCTAGCCTGGAGGACCCCGGGTGAGCGTGGAGGGGCCGAGGACAAGAAAACAAACTTCCCTTCTCCACACTGGGAGCCTCGCAGCCCACTTCCCTCAACCCGAGTTCGCCATTAGCATGGCAATGAGGAGCTTCTGTAACCCGACCCCTGGGGGGCGGCTGAGCCCCCGCTCGGAGATCGCAGGATAAGGCGGGAGAAGGGGGGCGGGCAGCGGGGCTCAGGGTCGCCCTCCCACTCGGTTCTCCTCGCTCTCCGCCCCTTTCTCCTCCCCGCTCAGTTTCGCCCGGGGAGCCCTCCGGGATCTGGAGCGGCTCGGCCGCAGGGTTTGGCGGGGCAGGAGGCGGGGGAAGAGATGACGCTGGCAAACGTGGCTAGCGTGGGGGCCGGGCCGAGCGCTGCAGGCCATCTGCCGCCGCCTGAGTCCCGGAGCCTGCGCGCTGCGGCGCGGGCCGCAGGTCCCACAGAGCGCACCCCACTACCCCCGCCACGGTCCTCGGTGGGTGGGAGGGGGAAGGGAGCGTCGGGGTGGGAGAGCCTCCTCTTTCCGCCCACCCCACCCCCACTCTGACTCAAGTCTGGAGTGGAAGCTGGCAGGTGGGAGGGGAGGCGGACAGATGGTTGATGGTGGCGGGGGTGGGAGGCTGGGGACACTTTGCTTTCCCGCACCATCGTCTCCTCCCAGCGGACCCGGTGGTTGCCGAGTGAACCTGCGCGCCTTTCCCTAGAGACACGTGCGAACCCGAGCCTTCTCCAGGGCCAGGGGTCCTGTAGATGGGGTCGTAAGTCGTTGTTTACTGCCGGATTCCGCGTCAACCCTGGACTTATAAGCGAGAAGAGGCCAAAGAGCGAAAAGTGACACGCTTTTAAGTAGGGGAAAACCACAGTTATTGCTTGCGTAAATTTTGTAGTGGACCGGACAGGGTCGGTAATGAGGAATGCACACGACCTGAATGTGCCCTTTGGGCTCCAGCCTCCCCAACCCCGCTCTGCCACAGAGAGCACACGTATTTTGGGTTGGGTGCCCCTTCAGGATTCTCTATCCTTTTCTCACGAGATCTCCCCCCCCCCCAGCCTGTCCCCTATGGGGGGAGGGGGAGGGGAGAACCCTCGACTGACTTTCTCGGTGGCAATAAAATATTTTCTCCAGGTATTCCTTCTGGAATGGCATTTCTCTATGACCTCTGACCCGTCCCCAAACGTGGTGCAGAGGCCCGGGGGTGGGGAGCAGAAGTTGCCCCAGCTCTACAGTTATCTGCTGGTGCCTTCCAGGAGGTCTTCAGCGACCCGGAGGGAAGGAGCTCCGGTGGGGGAAGGTGCTGGTGGTGGGAGCCATCTGTTCTCTTCCCTGCACCTTCCCCCAGCCCTGGCCTCGGGCCTAGACCATTGTGCCTCTTGTCTGCCGGCGTTTACTGGGCTCTAGGGCTCCGGCCACGAAGCTGCCGGCCGAGGCCGCTTTGCCCTCCTCTGCCGTTTCTCCGCCTCCGCGTTCTTCTCCCTGCCCCCTCTAATTTCTTTCTCCCGGCTTCATTTCACGCGGGCGGCCCGGGGTGGGGTACTTTGCCGGGGATTACAGATTCGCAGGGCGTACAGGCCTGCGTCGTCCCGCCTTCGCGCCGGGCGCTGCGCTCTGTCACCGCGGGCGGCCCGGAACGCGGCTCTCTCCGGAGCTACTCACAAAGCAGCAGCATCCCGCGGCCTGGAGCCTGCAGACGTCTGCACCCGGCTCCTTCTCCCACCCCACCCCCACGATCGAGCAATCCCGGTCCTTAATACAAGGCTGCTGGGTTAGTAGGCCAGCGCCCCCCGATTCGATCTGAAGTCTCTTTGAACGTCCCCAAGCGCGCTCCTGCTAGCGACCGGTTTTGGCTGCGAGTGCCTCTGTTCAGGCGATCCCCCTCGAAAGGGAAGGAACTAGGAGCAGACAAAACGCCGCTGAGGCCGCGAGCTGTTCACGGCCTGCGCGGCTCAGCCAAGCTGTTGTTTTAAAAGAGCCATAAAAATGAATTATGACTAAACGCCTTCTAACTTAATGCTTCGGACGGGGGATCCCCAGCAAATACGTAAGAGGATTTTTATTTGTGCATGTGTTCCTGCAATTGATCTCTTTGATGACATTCTCATTCATAGAAAGCGTTTGATTTATGAGCACAGGACGAATCGCATCCAGGAGCGGCGCAGCCCTGGCCGCGGCGGGGACGGCGGGGCTCGGCGCGGAGCCGGTGGGCCCGCTGGGCGGCCGCGGTCTCCACACGCCCCGAGCTGCTGCCGGGATTTAGGGGGTAAAGGGGTGAGGGGAGGTAGGGAACAGACTCATGCCGAAAGGTCAGGATTTCGTGACAACTTGCAAGCCTCTGCTGTTAAGAACTGGGCCTGTAAATCAACCCGCTACACACACACATGTTGCATACACGCTGTGTCTTCTCAAGGTAAGTGGCCATCAGAACTGAGCTCTCAGAAGGGGAAACATAAAGAGGAGGGAAACTAAAAAATAAGAGGGGGTGGAAGAACCCAGTCACACTCCCTAGGTCACATTTTATTGATATTTCACACAAAGTGCTTTTTCTCCATCCTTTTCTGCTCTCTAGAAACTGGGTTAATTTATAACCCCTGGTGCAGAAACACTCTATTTTAAATCTCAACTTGCTAACCTGACTTCCAAGCCTTAATGATCCATTATTAGCAGTGTAAACAGATTTTAGAGTGAAACATTGATTTTTCTGGCCATGGGGAGAAAAAAAAATCCTAGACTAGAGAATTGGAAAGAACCTCTTCTGGAATGCATTTGGCAGCTAGTAACCATTGTTTTTGTTTTATTGTTTTTCTCTGTCTTTTAGGTCTGTTTGGCCTGAGCTCATCAGCAGCTGGGAGATTCATCAGCCACCCTGAAAACGTGTGTGTGTGTGTGGGGGGTGCACTGGGGGAGGAAAGGCTGGAATGCAGGAATGCAGATGTTTGGGATGAACATTTATTAAATAAATGAATTGTTGATAATTTCGTTATGGCCCTGGAGCCTGGTCACTGGGTCAAGCAGCTCTGCCAGTTGACCTGTTCCTGGTGCTGGGGTGGGGGGGAATAGAGGGCGGTCCTGGAGGCACTTTTATTTCTGCACTTTTCGAAAACCTGGACTGGGCCCAATTCTTAGGCTGCTCCATCTGTTTGCAGGACTAAATAAAATCTACAGTTGAAGCCTGTACTCTGAAAACCAAATCCATTGCTTTATGTGTATTTTTTTTTTAAGAAAGTCAAAAATTGCTTGTCAAAGGCCTACTCATTTTCTGGCTTTTTTATTGTTGTTGCTTGTCTATTGAAGACTTTACACATGTCACCTTAATAAATATATTGAAATGGAAAAAGAAGATGAATTGTGACCAGAATTTTTATTTACCAAGTTAGACTAAAAGAAGAAATCTAAATCGGTTAGAAATCTTGAGAAAGAAGGGGGGAAAAAAAATAAGAAAGCTACTTATAGCAAAGGAGCATTTATTCTACCAAAAATACACATGACAACGCATCCTAATGTAATACAAAAATAAAAAGAAAGTGAAGATACAATTTATGATCACTTTCTTGCAGGCCTCAAATATTGCTTTCAGGATTTATCACAGAGTGTAACTGGATTAGGTCTTCAAACAACTAAAACTCCAACTGAATGTGTAAGCAGAGATGGCTCAGGAATGGGGTCAGGCAGGGGCGATCACTAAACGAACAGAGGGGGAAAAAAATAAAATCCTCAATGCTGAAAGGAGGGAGCTGGTGGGCGAGGAAGAAAAGAAAGCCATGAGGAGCACTGGACCCCCAGGATCAGGCTGAGCCAGGCCACCTGGGCAGAGGAGTTTCTGTGTCGGTGTTGTGGCGCTTTGTTCGGCTCCACTGTGTTTTAGTAATTCAGATGCTGTAGGTCGATGGTGGTCAGTGTGTCGGTGAAAAAGTCAAAGCTGTCAGCGGAGAGATCCATGGGGCTGTCGAGGGAGCCTGGCAGGCTGGGAGAGACGGCCTCGGAGAGCTGCAAGCAGGAGTCTGCAGCGAAGACTGCGAAGTCCTGCAAAGAGGGCGCGTCCAGGGCCTCGGGGCTGTCATTGTTGAGGCCCGCGCCACAGTTCTGGCCCATTGTTGACAAGCAGTTGGGAACAGTGGGTGACTGGTGCTGAAAATGTTTCAGATTTTTCTCATTGCTGGTTAAAGGCGAGACTGGGAAACTTTGGGAGTCGCCATTGTGTCCGTTAGGCGCCTGCTGCTGGGAGAGGCCGTTCTGCTGACAAGTGTAGCCATCCCTCTCCAGGAGCGCCCCCGAGACGCCCAGGGCTTGCTCAAAGAGAGACTTTTCCTCCTCGTCCTCCTCCGCCTTCTCCGAGTCCTCGAGGCTCTTAAACTTCCCGTCGCCGTTCTGGTTCTCCTTGCACTGAGTCTGCCGTTTGTGTTTCATCCTGCGGTTCTGGAACCACACTTTGACTTGTCTCTCCGTCAGATCCAGTAGCGCGGCGATCTCCACCCTGCGCGGCCTGCAGAGGTACTTGTTGAAGTGGAATTCTTTCTCCAGCTCCAGCAGCTGCGTGTTGGTGTAGGCAGTCCTCAGGCGCCTGGAGCCTCCGCCGCTGCCGTCGGCGATGTCCAGGGACTCTGCGGAAAAGGAGGAGGGGTGGGGGAGCAAACCGGACAAGACGCGCACGGTTGGAGGCGGAGGGGGTCCGAGTGGGCCCTGTCCACGGAAGGATCAACGCAGCCGCCGCGAGGCTCACCCGCAACAAAATGGCCGCCCCCGGCTTGCAGCAGGGCCATTGTGCTGCCCTTCCTAGGAGCCCGACCCGGGGGAGACCCCCTTCTCCTCCACCTCCATCCCGTTCCCTCCTGGAGCTCTCCCCCCACCACCACCCACCCCCATCCCCGCCCCGAACCTCTCCATCCGGGAGCAAACTTTATATTAGCTGCAACACAATTTATAATTAATGCCTCAGCTGCTTAGCTGAGCAAGAGCTATCTATCACTCTTCATTACTGTCAAAAAGCCAAACTCTAGGACAACTAGACAAGAGGAGGTCAGTTCCAACTCAAATAAATCATCCCACATTACACAAGTTAGGGAAAGTCCCCCCCCCGCCCAAAAAACATATATGTGTGCGTCTCCTGGTGCAGCGTGCCAGGGTCCCCCTGCCTTTGCACCCAGCCCACTTCCCACTCCGCCTTGGCTAAGCCCACCGGGACAGGAGAAATCGGCCGAGCATCGCCACCCAGAGCCCCGCGCGCCCGCGGCCCACGCTCCCGTGCGCCCCTCCCCCCACAGCGGCTCTCGGGGCGACGAGGGTCCCGAAGACCTGGGGTCCAGGCTCGGGACTGACCTTTGTGGCCGAGGCAGGCAGGGCCGGTGGTGGCGGTGGCTGCTGCTGCTGCGGCGGCGGCGGCGGCGGGCGGCAGGGCGGTTTTCTTAGCCGCCTTCTTCTCCTTCATCCAGGGGTACTCGGGCGGCTGCAGGGCGCCGCTGGGAACCGGGCTGCCGCGGCTGCCCGCGGGGCTCGGCTTGGCGCGGCCGCCGGCGCCGTGGCGAGGGTGACTGCCCGGGTTCAGGCTGGGAATGGTGTGCTCAAAAGGAGGAGGAATCAGTGTCGAGTGTGAAAGCGTCGAGGTCTTGATTGATGAACTTTGAAATGTATCAGCGACAGGGGGAAAAGATGTCAGGCACTCAGCGAGCGACGGCTGGCTATTGATAAAACCAATCTCTCGCTCAAATTCGTAATTCATGGCCTTCTCCTTGGAGCCCCCTCGGAGAAAAAGTTCTCTCTTTTGGAGGGGCTTTGGGGGGGCGAGGCCCAGGAAAAAGGCGAGCGCAGAGGAGGAGGAGGAGGAGGAGGAGGTGGAGGAGGAGGAGGAAAAAAAATCTATCATAGAAGATCGCTGCTGGGGTGTTTTTTTTCTAATTCACTGATTACAGCCGTATGGGGACCGCGCTACTATTAAACTATTGAATTCATGGAGACAAGGTTGAAATTGGACCGAATTGGCTGTCACATGATTGCCTCTGCCCAATGACAATTTGGGCTTTAATCAAAAGAAGCCACTGTCTGTTTGATTGATCCAAAAAAGTCGGGAAGGAACGCCTCATTGGGGGCCAGCAAGCCTTTATTGACACTTTTTTCCGGGCAAAAACACAGGGATGCGGGTGTGGGTGGGGATGCCCGGGCACGCATGGGGGGCCGTCGTGGGGGGAAGGGAACCCGGCCGCCACGCCATCAGCGAGGACCAAGCCACTGTCCCCACGGGTGCGTGCGGGGGCGAGCGTGCGCCAGGGTGCGCCCTGCCGCTGGTCCCGCTGTTGGCGGCCCTCTGCCTCCCCCGCACACTCCGCGCATTGTTTGGGACTGTCGGGAAGACGCCTCGCACCTCACAAATCATTTAAGCACCTCCGTCTGACGCCTGCAGTCATTAACAAAGTAATCCATTAATCTTCAAAGTTTTGACACCCGAGGGCCCCCGCATCCCAGCCAACACAAGTTCTGTTCAAGCAGAAGGAAGAAGCGGAGGGACCAAGGCGAGGAGAGAGGGAGAAAGAAAGCGAGGAAGGGAGAGGGATGCCGGGAGAGGCGCCGGCGGAAAGAGGGAGAATGGGAAAGAAGAAAGATAGGGGGCGGCCCCCTTTACCCCCCACCCCCTTTCCCTAAAGCCAGTTCCTGGATCTCAGAACTGATGTCTTAACCTGCTCCTGTATCTTAACCTCTTTCCCTCGTTTTCCTTTTCTCCCCATTCCTTCTCTCTCTCTCTCTCTCTCTCTCTCTCTCTCTCTCTCTCTCTCTGTCTCTCCTGTTCGCCTTTCCTTCCCTTTTCTCCACCCACCCCCACCCCAACACGCTTCGCAGCCTCTCGCCCCCCTCCCCAGGTCCAGCCTGGAGCCCGCGCCCCCCCCCGCCCCCCGCCCATTGTTAGGCGGCTTTTCCACGGCGGCTTTGCATCTGGCTCCCGCGGGAAGCGGAAAAGGGGAGGCGGCTCTCGAAGCTTCCCGACCTTCCTGCGCCATCAACTTCTCTGGAGTGGCTGGAGAAAGATAGATGCATGTGCCAAGCGAGACAACAGCCCCAGGTCCATGTTGTCCATATCCCCGTAGCCAGCCAGGGCGGCGAGCAGCCCAAGAAAGGCCACCCCCCGAGCAGGCGCGTGCGGCTCCTGGCACAGTGGGTTTCATACCCGTAGAGCTCGGGTGCGGTGAGTATTTCCGATTTGCAGGAAGTCTGTTGGAAGTTAGCAGCAGGAAGGTAGAAGGCGCTAGTTTCTCTCTCTCTCTCTCTCTCTCTCTCTCTCTCTCTCTCTCTCTTCCTACCCTTCTCCTTGTCCTTGGTCGCTCGGGCTGGGGGGTGGGGGTGCTGGTTGGGTGCGAAGCAGTCAGCGCTCCCTTGAAGCCAGACTCTTCTTCCCACTTCTTCTTGCGCGCCCTGCGTTGGGAAAGGACACGACTGGGGAGAGAAGGGACGACCCAAGGAGGAATGACAGATCTTCTCCTCCTTCCGTCTCTTTTTCTAATTCTGAGACTTGAGACAGTGCATCTTGGACGGCGCTGGAGGGGTCAAAAGAGAACATCTTTAGGTACCAAACAATAACTTTTTTAAAGCCCACCAAGCCTGAAAGAGGGAAGTAGTGAGGAGAGGAGAGGAGAGGAGAGGAGAGGAGAGGAGAGGAGAGGAGAGGAGAGGAGAGGAGAGGAGAGAAGAGGAGAGTTGAGTTGAGTTGAATTGAAGGTACCTCTTTTCCCCCCCAAACCCTGAGGATGCTGATTTGATTTTGCTTCCTTTGAAATGGACCAAGTGACCAGCCTCCCCCAGGCTGGCAGGCATCAGTGGCAGGAAAATAAATCATTCTGATAGCCAAGGAGAGAGCAGTTGGCGGGGGAGAAAAATCTAGTAGAAAACAAGAAAGGCCAACCGAGGAGCAAGGGCAGGACTCCAGCGCTGAGGCCGGCATCAAAAGAGGTTTGGGATGGGAATTAGATATAAAGTGGTCTCCATCGGTAACTAGCCCACGGCATCACTTTGCAGATAGAGATGCTATTATGGAAAAAAAAAAATGTGAGGTTTTTTTTTTTCTTCAGTTTTTTTCTTGCTTTTATTCCAAACAAAGCTCTGGAGGAAGTCTGGGCGCGATCAATCTTGCTCACCAAATGCCTTGACAGCTCCTGGCCCTTAAGAACACATTTCAGCTTCCAGCTCTTTCCAAGATCAAATGTGGCCCAGCAAAGAGGAGAGCAGGAAACGCAAGTAAACAAGGAAAACTATAGTCTTTTTTTTTTTTAAAGATATTTTTTGGGGCAATGGAAGGGGCTACAGGGTTGCTTTTTTAGGCAAGGTTCGTGGCAGACTTCTGGGATGGTGGGCTTGTTCAGGCTCTACTTTAACCAGAAAGTATTGAGGGGTTAAGGGGTGGGGGGTTGGAGGAAGGGAGCAGTGCTGCCTACCCACCGCCGGGGCTTTGTCAGGAACTGCGTGGGTGAGGACCTTCTGCCTGCCTCCGCTGCCTTGATTCAAATACCATCTGGAGGAACACCCTTTACTTTGACCACTCAGCACTGAAATCTTCCCCAAACCTATCACTTTAACTCGGGAGCTATTGTAAGAAGGATTTCTTTTTCATATCTAGGAAGCTGGGGGTGAGACCGAAATATTTTTGGTTGTTTTCTGTTGTTGCTGTTGCTTTTGCTCTGAACGCCAGCATGAATGTCTTGACTGGCAAGATGGGGGGAGGGCAGGGAATCATATTAGAATCTCATTTAAAAGTCTGTGCCCTGGGGGAAGAAGGAAACCTCCAGAACCTTCCTTCCTCAGCTTAAGAAAAAAAAAATTTTTTTAAGAATGAGTGCAAATAGTGAAAGATTTTCGCCCTTGGGTGGCTCGTTTTATCTCTCTCTCTCCCACTCTCGCTCACGCGCTCTCTCTCAATTACTTAAAAGAAGACTGTCTCTGCAACAACGGGACCTGCCCAAAGGTGGAAGTGCCGGCCCTCACAAAGCCTACTGTGTCCGCGGGTTCCGCGTGGTTCTGAGGTGCGCATCATACTTCCGCAGGAAAGTGGGGGTGCCAGGAGGGAGGGGGGAAATCCGCTTTTCCTCAACCCAAACTTAAAAAAGAAGAAGAAGAAGAAGAAAAAGGCAAAGAAATAAAGAAAAGAAGCATTTGGAGCCCGGGACAGAAATGAGGGAGGCACCCCCGGGTTTGAAGCTGGCTCCGCATCCTCTGAACTTGCCCCCACTCCTTAAAACTGAGGCGGTTCCCTAAAAGCAAGTGGCTAGGATCTAGCAGGTCCCCAGACATGGCATCAGTGCCAGCTTGCAGAGATCACCTGAGGAAGGGGGGCACAGAGGCCATGATGATGGATATTTAGGATTGCAAACAAAATGGCGACATTTCCCACTTGTGCCTCTGAAAGATAGAATCCAGAGAGAAAGGGGATTTGCATCTCAGATACCCCCTAGTCCCCAGATGCTGGCAGGTCCAGACTTACATCCTGGGGTTGGGGAAGAGGGACAGCATTGGGATGCATCTCTGAGGTTTGCATTTTCTGCATTTGGTTCCTTCTCCGTATAAATCTTTGATCTGCAGATGAAAATATTTCCTTTGCTTGTGCCTGTCTTTGTCTCTACCAGTCAGGCAGTGGGCAGCGCTAATCGTAAAGCCAGGAGTGGAAAAAAAAAAAAAAAAAGAAGTAATACATACTTAGTTCCTGTAGCATTAAATGAAATAAGTAACTTCTCCAATTGCATTTGTATTAGAAGGATACCAATCTCCTTTTTTCCTTCCCCCTGGGGCCAGAAAAAAAAAAAAAGCTGAGAGGGAAGGAGAGGAAATAAATCCAGGGGATGCCACAATACTACATAGCTACACAAAATCCCAAGCTGAAACTGGGTCCAGGCCGTTCAAGGAAAGGCTCCCGAGTTCAGCCCTGCTCTTGCTGGACACCAGGGCGAGCCCGGAGGACCTTCGCATCTCCTGGGCTCGGCGCGGCGACGGTGGGAGCGAATCGGTCCAGTAAGCTTGAACGCGCCGCGAAGGAGACCAGGAGGCCGAACGCCGCTGGAAAGTCTTGGGCCTCCCAGCGCGGCTGGCGGTCCCGCCCGGGTCGGGGCGTGGGCCGGCCCGCGGGGACCCGAGGCCCGGCGTGGAGATTGGGGGCCGCGAGGCACCTGTGCGCCCCCCGCCGCGCCACGGCCCCGGCTGCCTTTGTTCCTGGCGCAAACCGCGCCCCACAGACCCCTGCGCCCTCCGCCTGCCTCCGCGGCAGCTGGGAACCAGGCGGCCCAGCGAGCCGGCTGCGCCGCCGTCTACTACCGCCTTCTCCTGGAGCCCCGGCCGCCTTTCACCAGAAGCCGCCGGCCTTGGCGGCGCGGCGCATGGCCAAGTCCCCACGCGAGAGCCGCAGGCTGCTGCGGCCTACTCTGCCAGCTGGCTTGGAGACACCCACTGAAGCCAAAGAACTCCTTCTTAACACAGATATTACTCAGAATAAAAACTTTAATTTTTTTTGTTTTGTTTCTCAGAATGTGAGCAGCAAGGAATGTAGAACTCTCAAAACAAATCTAGCATTTTTCGCGTGTACAGGTTATTTTTTGTTTGTTTCGCCGGATGTTACAAATCTCAATCACTATTTTCTAAAGCTGGATCTTCTCTGGTTTTTATTGCATCATTATCGTTTTTATAAAGGAATTATATTTCCCTTTCAAATAAAAAAATTTTTCTATGTACGCCAATACACTATTGAACAAAAGGCCCAAGAAACCTTCTGAACAATCAGGGTACAGAATTTCTTTAATATAAATACGAACGGATGGGGATAAATAATATTTAAAACTTAGATTATTCAATGCTTGCAAAAAAAATATAAATAAATCTTACTGTTCACCAGCATACACACACGGAAAGACGTACACTTAGTCATCCTTGCACAGGGAGCCCCTGTCTCAAAGCGCCTTTGATTTTTTTTTTCTCGTTCTTTACAAGAAGTGCAATTTAAAAAAAAAAAAAACCTTAAAAATTAAAAAAATAATAATCGCTTCCCCTCGGGAGCCATAATGTTACGAACAAATTCACATTGAAAACTTGACTAGAAAATTTGTTCATATACCCTGTTTCTGATCAAAGAGTGGAGAAGGTAGAGGATGCAGGGCCAGTGGCCGAGCGAGGGGCAGGAAGAGATAAATATCGCTACTGATACAGCCATTCCAGCAACCAAGATTGCTACGTCACATAAACTATAAAAACGCGTTACCAAAGAAAACAAAACAGGGAAAGGGAATGGGGGGTAGGGCGCAGAGAAGAGAGAGAAAAAGGAGAGAGAGGACCAAAAAAAAAAAAAGCTTTAAAAATAGCTTTAAAAAAAGCACGCAAAGAAAGGGGAGGGGGCTCTCCTGGCGCGCAGTCCCGAGCCCACCATCACAGGTGGGTGAGCTTGGGCGCTTCCTGAATTCTTCCCTGAGAAGGATGGTGGGCGGTAAGGTCCGTGTAGGTGGGGTGCGGCTCCCCTGGCCCCGGCCCGTGGTGATGGCCGCTGCCCAGCGGCCCGGCGCCCCCATAGTCCATGGCGGCCGAGGCAGCGTGGGGTAGGTGAGTTAGGCCAAAGAGGGCCGGCCCGGAGTTGCTCATGGGCTCCACATAGCTGCCCCCCACGAAGACGGGGCTTCCCTGTAAGTGTGGGGTCCCATAGCTGCCGTTGCCCTGCAGGCCATGAGCGTGTGGGTCGTAGTCGGGGGTGCCCCCCGCACCCGTGCCCGCCGTCGCGGCCGCGTAGCGCTTCTGTGGGGGCGGTGGCGGGGGTGCGCAGCTGGGCAGGGGCGCGGGGTAGGAGGCAGGGGGCAGCCCATAGGCGCCTTGAGGGGGCTTGGAAAAGGGCGGAGGCGACTGGGGCTCATATGGGACGCTATTAACCAGCGAATGCATAGAGTTCAGGTAGCCACCCGCGCCAGGGGGCACAGGGCTGCGACTTGGGGACTGGCCGCCAGAGGAGGTGAGCATGCCCTTGCCCTTCTGATCTTTCTTGTACTTCATGCGGCGGTTCTGGAACCAGATCTTGATCTGGCGCTCGGTGAGGTTCAGCAGGTTGGCCATCTCCACGCGGCGCGGCCGGCACAGGTAGCGGTTGAAGTGGAACTCCTTTTCCAGCTCCACCAGCTGCGCGCTCGTGTAGGCCGTGCGCGCGCGCTTGGATGAAGCCTGCCCAGGCGGGCTCTTGTCACCTGCGCAACTCTCCCCTGCCAGGAGAGAGAGAGGTAGAACCGAGTCAGGGGCTGCCGGGACCTCCGCCACCGGCTCAGCTCCTGACCCAGACAGGCCCCTTTCCTCTCCAGGCCATCAAAATCTCTTCAGAACTAGGTGTCAGGGTCTCTCTGGGTTAGGGGTGCAGGGGAGTGGGGTATAGCGTAGGCAACAAGGAGCGAATTCCAAGCTTCTCTAAGAAAGAACAGAAAAGCAGACACCCCCCCACCCCACCCCACCCCATCCTGGGCTGGCCTGGCCTCCCTTTCTGGAGGAGCTATTCATCCTGATTCCCTTCCTTTTCCTCTGGCCCCACTAAACTGCAAGCCCCCTGTGGGCAGGCTCCCCTGCTCCCCTGCCTTCAAAGTGACAGCAAGGACAGGCTCCTGAGACCTTTTTCTCCCTCCTGGCCTGAACCAGCCAGGCAGTAACTGCCATGGGCCTCTCCACTGAAGGAGATGGGAAAAGCATGGAGACACCAAAGCCGAAGGTCTTCACTGCTCCAAGCAAGAGAGCCCAGAGAAGCGTCCATCCACTTGCAATGGGGGAGTTTGCGGGGGCAGGCCCCTCGGGATGAGTTCTGTTTATAAGGCCTCTGTTATCATCAAGCTACCTGCCCCAGCTTGGCCCACCAACTGTGTATCCTCTAGTCCTCTCGGGCCTCATCCCACCCCTACCTATATCTGGGTTCTGGAGATCCCCGGATGCTCAGGCACCAAGCTCAACCTTGGCAGCTGGAGAAGGTAGGGGGCAAAGGTAACCAGGGAGCTGGAAGCCCAAGGCCTGGGGCCTTTTCTTGCATTGGAGTGTGGTTCCAGGGAGTCCATGTGGTTCCCATTAGGATGACAAGCTCACAGCCCCTCCCCCAAGGAGGACCTTGGTTAGAGAGGTGAGGCAGCCACTCCATCTGCTGGAGTAAAAGCTGGCTCTGAGGATAGGCAAAGCCTTGGCTCTGAGTGCTGGCACAGTGATGGGGCCTGCTTGGATTCTGCTACGGCCCCAGATGGGGAAGGTGTCCCAGTGTGCTTAGACTACAACAAGGCGCTCTAACTCCAAGGCTGGAACCGGAAGGAGCTGCGGCTTGTCTGAACTTTGCTCATCTTTGGGAAGGTCCAGAGAGATTCCCAACCAGGTCTCCTGCTGGAGTTTTCCGACCCGCAGAGACCACTCACACCTTCCTAAGGTGCAAAGACTTTGCAAGTCTGGGGGGTGGGGGGGGCAGTGGGGGCAGTGAAGCCCTAGAGACGGGTCCGGTGCTCCCCAACTGTGCTGACTAAGGCGACAGGTGGCTCTCTTGGAAGCGGGTGGAGGAGCCGGGATGAGGCGCTGGGGGCCAGGCCAGAGGACCCTCCTCCGGAAGGCACCCTTTACCTGAACTGGAGCCGCTGGTTTTCTGCTTTGTGTTTTGTCTCGACTCTTTCATCCAGGGGAAGATTTGTTTGGCCACGGTGGGCGAGTTGAGCAGGGGGCTCTTGGCTGCGCTGGCGGGGGCAGGGTTGCTGCTGGTATTCTGAGGGGGGGAGACGGAAGAAGCGGGCGGCGGGGCAGCAGGGGTGGGAGCCGGGGGCTGAGGCGGGGGCTGAGGTGGTTGTGGGGCAGGGGGCGCGGCCTGGGGCGGCGGCGGGGGCAGGGGCGGGTCGCCCAGGCCTGGGGGCTGGCTGGGCGGGCCGCTCAGAGTGCGCAGACACGCTTCGCTCAGCTCGTGCGCCTTGGGGTGGCCCCCGGCGCTGGCCGGCGACTGGAGCGAGCAGGCGGGGCGGTGGTACTCGCCGCCGTCGGCGCCCAGAGCGGCGGACGCCGGGTACGGCTGCTGACTGGCATTATAAGCGAACCCGTTGGCTGCCTGGTAAGGGTAGCCACCGTAGATCGCCGAGCTGTCGTAGTAGGTTGCCTTTTGCATCGCGTTGTTTCACGGTCTCGATCGCACGCTCTGACCGGGGCTGGACACCCGTGAGGGCGCACATTGGCACGCCCCCGCGGTCACGTGACGCTCCGCCGCCAATGGCCGCCCCGCGCAGACCTGGGATGGGGGGGCGAGAAGCGCAGCGCGATGAGGGCTCGGCGCAAATCCATCTTACTCTCAATAGCTAAGTGACATGAAAGCCATAAAAGAAAAAGTGGTCAGCAATATTTAGCAGCACGACTTGGCCCCGGGCGCAGGGAGCCGCGCTATAAAAAGCCGCTGGAATTTACTGGCAGCTACAAATATTTGCTTAACTTGTGTCTGGAGTTGGGGGATTTTCCGGGGAGAGACGAGCGAAGACTTGGAAACCGAGCCTCGTGGTTAGGGGGGGCCTGGGGTGTAGGAGAGACGGGATCCAAAAGGCCTGATGCAGTGTCGAGGAGAGCAGCTGGGACCCTCCTGGTCCAGCAAGAAGAAGCCATCCCAGGTGTCAGTCCTGGCCTGGCCTGGACCGCAGGGCTCGAGGCGATCCCTACACACACCCGCTCTGAGGATCCTAGGGGACCCGCGTGCAACAGCCAAGGGGAGCTTGGGTCTCGCATTTTGTCTCCAATCCCTGCTTTAGAGCTAAGATTTGCCACAGGAATCCTGTGTAGGGGCAACTTGTCCCAGACTCCTTCTTGGACTTTCTGACCCCAAGAAACGTTGGCACACAAGTTTGGACCATGCTGGGGTTCAGGATCTGGGGCCGGCAGCTTTGTGGAGGAGCAGGACCCACCTTCTCCAAATGTGGTCCCCCCTAGGATGGTGTTGGGGAGAGGGTTCACACCTCCATCCCACGCACCAACCACATCTCCCATCTTGTGTAGTTCTGTAACTCCATCCACTTTTTGTCTCCCCACTTCTCGGCTGGCCACAACCCCCTCTATTCCCAGTTTGAGAAGGTTCCCAGACCCCTCTTTGCCTGGGACTTTGTGAGGTGCTGTTATTCAGAGCAACTATCAAACTCTACCTGTTAAAACATGATGGATTAGAGAAAAAAAACAACCCACCAGGAACCTGAAAAACCAGCGTTCATCTCCATGACCACGGCTTGAACTCTCCTCCCAACTTAACGATAATAGGTTCTGTCTCAGAAACTGCTATGTAATTTGATGTATGGGGGTCATTTGGCTCCGGACGAGAGAGAGATGGGAGCACAGGCCATAAAACCATGCCAGAGTTCCCTGATCTTTGTGCGCCGCTTTCCTAGGACTTGTTACTTGGCTGTTTACCTGCTGCAGAAACACTCAAGTCAGAGGAATCACTGAAAATCCAGGAGGCTGCAGCCACCTCTGGGCGCCCGGTGCAGACCTGAGGCCAGCGGGCTGCGTTTCTGTGTGTTCAGCCTCTGCACGGTGAGCCTCCAGTTCTCAGCACAGAAAGTTCCAGAAGAGTTTCATCGACTCATACAGACTCAGGACACCAGTCCCTCTGGCCACTCGAGAAAATTATTATGACAAATTTATGAAGAAAATAGTTTACACTGCATGCCCCAACTACAGGTCCTCAGTGCCAGGGCCGTTCAAGTTTTCCAGGAATAACAAATACTTTGCTAACTAAGGGGGTGGGGGCTAATAATAGAATAAGCTTTCCACCAGCGGAGGCTTATTTTGTTTTCAATAACGAACTCCTTTAGATTTCATTATTAAAACAACAATCTGACCAACATCTAGTAAACAGGCACAATTAAGCTTCCAGAATCACAGCTAAAAATCCCTGCAGCCTGAGTTGGGCTGCTATGCCAGCGCCCCGGAGCCCCACAGGATTGTCTCCCGATTGGAAATGGATCGGACTTGGATGCTATGGAAACCAGGAAACCACAGGCAGGCAAAGAAGCGATGAAACAAAATTTCCAACTCCAGAGCAGTTCAGCATCTCATAAAGATTCCTGTTACACTTAGCAGTGTTAACATCTGCCCACACACAGCTTCTAGACACCAGGCTTGTATAAAATCAAACGTCACCTGAACAAAATCACCACAGACACTTGAGCACCAAGCTATTAGATAAAGCAAAATTAAGTTGATTTTGAACATGCAGTATTTCTACTGACTTGCTAACCCGTTACCACAGAGGCTAGGCTGGCTTGCTGCCTGCTGAAGACCTTTTTCATCAAGTTGTGTGTTGTCTCCATAAAATAACGAAATAGGCTTAAAAGTCAAAGCAGGTACAACAGCTGCCCCCACCACCGCCAAACAAAACAAAACCTTTAAATATGAATTCAACCCAAAGAGCCCACCAAAGTCCCTCCTATTGTTTCAGGTCTACAAACAATCACCTTGGGGCTCCCATGATGTCCCCACAAGCCAGCCCCCAAAGTTTGCAACCCAGTGAAGAAGTTGGAGATTTGCCAGTGAGGAAACTTTACTTTGCACCCCTCCCCACCCCCAGAGCAAGAGTCAGGGACTCAGGGAGGCTCTGCCGCCCGGACCTGTGTCTGGACAATAACCCCCAGGTGCCAGAGCTGCCCGAGGGTCGAGGAGGCCACGCCGAGGGCAGGAAGCAAGCCCTATTGTCTCTCTGGAAGATGTGCCCAAATTCCATCTCCTCCCTCCAGACGCCGCTCCCTCCCCTTCCTCAGCCTATCTTGGCCCGGGGTTCGAGAGCCGGAATGTCGGGGAAGGGCTCCCCGATTCTTCCTCCCCACCCCCAGCCCTGCCCTCCCTCCCCTTTCCGACCCAGAAAAGTTCAGGCCGGGCTCGGGGAGAGGAACGCAGTGGGGGCGGGGATGGGAGAGCGGCCTGAACTCGAACTGCCGGGAAGGAAGCTCCGGCTTGTGAACTCTTCTTGAACCGAGATTTAAGACTGCAGCCATAAATCACCGAGACGTAAACTCCGCCATTCAGCGCCGAGCGCGGCCGGTTGTGGCCCTGCTTACCTTAACTTCTGACGAGCGCCGCGGGCGCGGGCTCCGGCCCCCGGCCCGGCTCCGCGGCCCGGCCGGGTCCCCTCGGCGCGGGACGGGCACCGACCCTCAGCATCAGCCGAGACGGCGGCCGGGCGGGAGACCCCGAGGCCCGGACGCCGGCGCGTGCAGAGCGTGGCCGCCTCGCTGCTCCGGCGCTGCTCGCCCAGGGCCGACTGGGGCGGCTTGGACCCCCCCTCCCACCCACCCCACCCACCCACCCCTCCCCCACACCCCCGCCCCCTGCCCTTCCCGAGGGCAGCAGCCGCGGCCCGGAGATAAGCGCTGGCGCGGCGCGGGGCTCTGCCTGGGCTAGTGGCACCGACTTGGGTATGTTTCTTATGAATATTACACGCGGAGCGACGTCTGGTCGGGGGTGCGGTGGGGGGGTGCTGGGGGCGGGCGGGAGGGGAGCCCGCCGAGGCTGGGGAAGAGCGGGCCGGCGTGGGGGGATGGGGCCGAGAGCGGAGGCGAGGGGAGGGACGCGAGCGAGAGGGGGAGCTCGGCGGCGGCGGGAGGGGGGCCGCCTCCCCCACCCCAGCGCCCTCCCTCTCCCCGCTCCCGGGCGTCCCTAAAGTCCAGGAAAATTATGCTAATGAGGACAAACGGCTCTCACAAAGGGGCTCCTGGCCGGCCTCTATTTCTGAGAGATCTGTTTGAGAATCCACATAACCCTGTGCCCTGGGCATTTCCAGTTGTGTGGGGTTTGGGGGTGGTGGCCAGGGCATGAAGAAGCGGGACAAGTGAGTACCCCAGACCTCTGGCACTGTACTTCACCTGGAACCCCTCAAACGTGTACCCACAGCCCAAGGTCTAGGGGGGCTGGGCTAGGGCCTTCCTGCAGAGACCTCCCCGAGAGCGCACAGGGCTGTCTCCGGTTATATTTTTTAGGCAGAAATGGTTGAAATCCTGGCCAAGAAATAAGTACCCGGGGGAGGCTGGGGTGGGGGACGGGAGTGGGGTGGAGTGGAGGAGACGCACATTCATCCCAGCAGTGACCCAGGCCACCCTGGGCTCAGGTACACGCACTCAAGGGTGCCCCGAAACAAGGCTCTCCAGCTCACCTGTGTCCGTTTCGCAATACAGACACGCGGCTCAGTTGCCCGGCAAGGCAGATAAAGCGCCGACCACATACAAGCCGACTTCCACGGTCATTTCCCCCCCACCTAACGAGTGCGGTGGCGGCGCACACGGAGGCGAGCGTGCCTGGTAACGCAACGACTGCGGTGAGGCCGGTCTCGCTCCTTTCCCCAGGCCCAGGAGCCTAGCCGGCGCTGGATAATTGTGGCAGCCAGAGAAAAAAAATAGGAGTAAGCCCGCCTGCGAAAATGGAGTTCTCTTGAGCAATTCCGAGGCGCCAACGCGGGTCCTTCTCAAAGGAAGGTGTTAAAAATATAAGTAGTCTGTTTAAACTGTCAGGGAGCCGAGGTGTCACCTTAGAGCAAAAACAAAGCCAGGGGAAAAGGGAGAAATCAAAAAGCACTCGGGGCCAGGGTGGCCTCATGCATACCAATGGTTTTTGTCATTTATGGCTGGGCAAGATTTATGACTCGGCGCCCCAAAGCTGTAAACAGAGCACAAAACAGCAAACACTTGCTCCCGACCGCATATTGCAGCGGCGCAACTTGAAAGGGGGAGCCGGGCCGCGTAGGAGGTGAGAGAGCCCGCCGCAGAAATCCACCGCTCGGCCTCTTTTCTTCCATCCCGCCCGGCTGGATGTGGCATTTGAAGAAAGAAGGCGTGGGTCAATAATCAACCCGCACTTTCTCCTCCAAACTGCTGACGCGACTCATTGCCCTCCCAACCCAGCCAGCTGCAAGCCAGGCCAGCGCTCCGTGAGAACCTGCCTGGAGAGGGGACGCGGGCCGAGCCGCTTGCCGGCGAGCACGGGCTGGGCCACCCGGAGCGCCCACCTTCCACTGCATCCGGCCCAGCGCGAGGACTGGACCTTCACCCACCCTCGACCGGCGGCCTGCGACCTCCACCCCGGGGTCTGGCGTCGGGTGTGCCCTGGCTCTGCGCCTCCCTGCTTTTAAAATTCCAAAGGACC